ACTCAACATTCAGTTGCTGGCATGCGACCGCCCCAGTCTCTCGTGTAACGCCGTCTCTCTTGCGTTTCGTAAATGCTCATGCTGATGACTCCCCCCCTCGCGTACATGTACGACAACACCGACACAACACGACGGTCACAGCAAAGGTCACAGCAGCATGTCTGAAGCGCCTTGCTCAGCACCCAGCCTGCCATCCGAAGCACACTCGTGGCAAGTGACAAGATGAGCACGGGCACGAGCACGGCACGAGTCGATACCGTTCGGCCACCCGCTGTCCGCCGCTTATCCGCCTGTGGTCGGCGCCTGGCGCAGATCCCTGCCGCACATCGCTGGGCCCTGGCGCCAGGCTGGAATAGTGACTAGTTGGGTTTGATTCGCTCGCCATCGCCTCACCAATGACCGTTCATGGGGGTGCAAGCTACCTCTATTAATCATCTTCCATATGGGGGGTTTAGATCGACGGGAAGCACAGCGTACGTTACGTAGCACTGTGGCCTTCCAAAACACCGAGTCCAACGTTGGTACGAGGGCTGTCATCCACCAGATGCGTCTTGACCCAAGCCGTCGACCCTCTGAAACGCCCTGTCGGCCAATTCTTTGATCCATGGATTCGAGCAGTTGCTTCCCCTCCAGCTCACTTCCGCTCGTCTTGTTGGCTGAAGAAGATCAGTCGTGGGTGTGTGTTTGAGACAAAGCCGTCCTCCCAGGCTTGCCAGGATCACCCATCTTCTTTTGGTCACCTTCCTCTTCGTCCACCTACCTTTGCCCCCCCCCCCCTTTTCCTTCACTTTTGTGGCCCCTATTGTCTCACGCCCAGAGCCCTCCTGGATCTTCATTTTCAAGCCGCCGTCTCTTCACCGTCGACCCAGCGACCTTTGTTTCCTCACAACCACGTTGGCTGTCATCGGGACAGGACCACAATAACTGTCCCCATCCAACAGTCGATCCTGACGACAACCTTCTCCCTGGATGACGATGGGAACTTTTGAGTTTGCCGCGTTCTTGTGCTGTGTTCCCATCAGCTGCCGATTTCTTTTTCTTGTTCCACTCATATCCTCCGGATGGCAGTCGAAACCTCCCGGCTGCTGACTCGCAGGCAGTCCTGGCAGAAGGCTCTGCAGGGCTCTGCGACATGGCCTGGCCTGGCCTGGCCTGGCCGCCAGCCGGCAGCACATCTCGACTGCTCCATGTCTCGAAGCCTGTAGGTTCCAGTTGTCAGCTCGAGCAACTATCAGCCAGCCCGCACCCTCGTCTCTGCGATCAGACATTGGGCAACCCAAAGCAAAGAACGATTCTGAAAAGCTCAGATGGGGAACGGGGGCACTGCCACGCCATGTTATTCGTCTGGATACATGCCCCCCGAAAGACTGATGGGGCGTCAGGGTCTGGATATGTCCCTTGTTGACAACCCCTCCTGCAGCCCTAACAGAAGAGTCTGGAAGGGGGTGAAATTGGGGGGGGTCTTATTTGGTTCGTGTTACCCCCATAATGCACTCCCCCCAAAGTTCACGGGACCTTGATCTCGGCGCGAGGCGCTAGCCTGGCGGCCTCTGCTAAATATATCACAATAGCTCGAAATCGCCCGAATTCATCTTGTCGACAAAGACATTTTCGGTCACGCGTCAGCGACCGATTTTTGCCGCCCTCGTACCAACGAAGATCTGTTTCCAAATCTTCTCGAACCCTTTGACCCGGCACGGTTCAGCCAAGAGGCAATCATCAGCACTGCTCCCCACAGTCCCTTCCTTTTCTGGATCCTGTGAGCCGAGTCCCGCACAAACACGAGCTATCAGCGGAGCCTTGGCCCGTGCCACCCGACGGTGTCCCCGATTTTCGGTCGCTCTTCCAACCGGGCAAATGACCATTGTGCAGATAGTGCAGTGCACCTACATGTACTTTCTTCACTGCCATGGTCTTCTGGTGATCGTGACGTCTTTCTTTTGGCAGCTCGCCTCGCTAACGTGATCAGCGTCGTGTGACATGACCCGCATGTTCTCGTCTGTTGTTCCCTCTTCGCTGATCTTGACTCTGCGGTCTGCAGCGTGCTGTCCTTTTTTTTTTTGTTTCTACCCGTGCCATGCTCTGCAGGCGCGAAACATGGCCTACCGCCGTAGCTACAGCTTGACGATCTGTCCATTGGCCATGGAAAAACAGAAAAAACGAAAGCGGCGACATCGCGGCCCGATATTCTGGCATTTGGGACATACAGCACTCACCGCCATCGGTGTCACTTGTTGTCAGTCGCCAAAAGCCAACATGTCGTGGGTGTTCTGTATGCTGGCAGCGCAGTGCATCGTGACACCGCATGCCGCCCGCCTCTTGGGACCATGCCGCGGTCGTGTCACCGACGGCTTGTCGAGACTTGTCAAGCGATCGTGGCTGCAGGCCTTGTTAGGCTGTGACACGTTGGCGTGGTGTATGGTCTGCCTGCATTCCCTGTCTCGTGTCGAATCACTTGACCGTCGTGCAACAGCGTGGGCATCGGGCTTTCTACCTCGTGGGTTCTCGTTGTTGACATGATAATGAAACAACGTCGCTTCTTGCGTGCTGAGTGGTAGATCGATGACCTCATCAGAACCTCATCTTTTGTGGTCTCAAAAGAATCATCAACCAGCCTGTCTGGGTCTTGTACACGCTGTGTGTGATGTACACGCTGTGTGTAAGGGTCTTTTCTTTTTTTTCCAGTACCTCGTGTAGCTCGCGTTGGCCCTGGGGGTCAACATGGACATGGCATGACAAGATTACAGCGAACTCAATGCTGGCAATAGGACACGGTAAGAGGTCCTCGGCTCTACTCTTGTCACCTCACGTTGGGCCTCACTCGACATATGTGATGTGGGTAGGCACGGTAAGGTGATATCCTGCAACCAGTTCCCTAAGCTCTCTCAGTCATTCTCTCCTCTAAGTTCGTTCAATATGCTGTCCCAATGGACCACTCGCCGAGGGGGGCTGCATATGCCCGTACAGAACCAGCCTGGCCATGCCATACGTCTCGGCATAGTAAGTTGCAATAGATAACTTTGGCAGAATGTATGAAATGAGGGCCAGTATCTCTGATATTTCCTTTCTATCAGTGACATACCCCATAGCATGCTGAACCATCCGCCAGAAATAGGACGCCGCCCCATCTCCGACGCAGATGCAATGATCCCCCCTTTGACCGCGAGCGGGCACGAAGAACTATCGTAACCAGGCCACAGGATCAGTAGAGCATGATGGCCGGGCCTCCGTCGACTACTAGGTGCCACCAAAACAGGCTGTGATCACCAGTTTTTTCAACTCTCAACTACCTGGAGAACTGGACGATGAAGCTGAACCCTTCGGTTCTCAGGGTCTCTTCTGGACGGCACTGGAGTTGCTGGCCTTCTCGGTACTGTCGCATGGTCATTATGTACGGCAATTAGACGTCCATTGCCTGTTGAATGTTTCGAGATGCCACAGGCTCGCTTCGCTGAACAGTCACTCAGAGTCGTATCTTCGTCATTCATGCACTGACTCTGTGAGAGCAGCGTGGACACAAGGAGGCCGTCGACATGGCGAGGCAGGGTGGCTATTCACGAGTCTGGCTATGATTTGAGAACAAGTAGTGATGGAGAAAAAGATAAAACGAGGAAGCATTGACCATGGTACGCGGCACTCCAGCGTAGTCGACGGCTCCGTTGCCATACCGCCACACGCACCCCAGAAGAAACGCGTATACGAGGCGGCCTATAGAAACAGTTGAGGCTGTGAATCGTTCCCTCAAACGAACAGCAGAAACCATGGGCTCATGCATCGCAGTTCTGGCGTCGTGACAAATGGCAATTTGTACCGGTATACATGTCAACCACCAGCCAAACATCACCAGCCAGCGTGCGGGTTCCAGGGGTCAGCGTCCGTCGGGTTTGAGGGGGGGGGGCTGAGCACGGTGCTCGGTTGTATCATGCCGCCTGACTGGGTTGCGCACACTGGACTGACTGACTGACTGACCGGACCGGACCGCCTTCAAGTCTGGTTACCTGTGTTGGTTTCTGGCTCTCACGGCCGTTTCCTCGCCTCATGCCCTGACCCCGTGCTTCCTCACGCGATGTGTGCATTTCGAAAGACGGCATGAAGAGCTTGGACCTGATGCGCGTTTCACATGCTCTGGGGTGGAAAATGGGCGGTGCACCGATGACTGTTTACAAACAAGGATGGCCATCTTCCTGGAGAGGAGGAGGAGGGGCAGCAGGAGGAGGAAATCAAAGCAAGGGAAAGCAACATCGTACAATCCTCTGGGGACGCCACGAGGTCTTGGGGTCGGAGTGGGAATAGACAGGTCCGGATTGTGGGGGGGGGGGGCGCTTCCTCAAGGCGTTGGCTGAAAGATGACGACGGCGGCCAACTGCAGAAGGAGAGTAAGAGACTTACTTATTAGGGTAACTGGGCCTGAGACTCGTTCGACCTTTGAGGAGCAGCTGCTTCATTAATTGGGGGCTCACATGTGGAGGTTTTCCACGAATGGGCAGATGATTACCCCGAATGTGAGAAATGGGAGGTTTGGTAGCGAGCGGTATTGTTAATGTAACCCCGATGAACAAAGGCATCAGAAGGCGCAGCTTCGTCCGACGTCCCGAATCTGAACCAAGGGCCAAGGAGGGATGGAGGGAGTGGCCCGCGGCTCGGAGGCAAGGTAGAGACGGCTAGGAATGACACCTTGGCAGGGGTTCGCTTGGAGAGGCGCGAACCGAGAGTGTGGGAGACCATTTCATGGCGGACAAACCCTTGAGTGGGTGAAAGGGAAGAGAGAGAGAGAGAGAGAGAGAGACAGGTTCGTCGTTGAACCGTTCAGAAGGGGGGCTTGGGGCGGAGTGGTTCGCTTTAGCTGCGTCGCGGATCAGACGGTGGGTTGCGGGGAGCGGCGGTAGGCGGAGCGCTGTGAAGACCAATTTGGCGAATGCCCGGTGTCCCAAGTATGAAGTATGGTGGTGTGTGGTGTGCCAATGTAACCCTTCCAAAGCGGCAGCAAGTCATCGCGAACGCCAGTCGAGCGGCTATATGAACCTTGCACATACAAGTCAGGAAAGGTACAAACTCAGATGCCTTGCGTCTCTTGTCGCCCGTCCCCTTCTCTCGCCTCGCCCCGGCCAGGCTCATGGATCGTCAAAGAACCCACCCTGGCCCCATTTGCCACGGATCTTGGTTTCACTGAAACGTGGGCTTGTCGCAATAGGCAGTTGTCTGCGTATGGGATGCCCTCAAACCCGACAAACTTTGGTTCGCCCGACATGTCACTGCCGCCTCCAAGCGTAAGCTTCCGACGGAAGGGGGGGCCCCAAGCAGCTTGACGGCGCCTCGAGAAAACCCCGACATCAGATGAAGGGGGAGGAGAGAAGGCCACCGACTTGGGGTTCCTCGTCATGATAAAGGGGAGATCCCATCTCGTCTCGAGTCGTGATGCACATCCGCTGCCGCCGCTTCGTTCGATACCCACCTCGCGTAAAGTCCCGACGCCCAGTGCCGCCCCGCGGGTGAGGATGATCATGAACGCCAGTTCGAGATCTGCCGAGTCGGCCTTCCATCTCCACTTGCCGCCCACGCCAACATCACCTTTCTCTTCTGCCCGTCATCCCGTCTCTGCTCATCCTGCCTTGATCCCCACGACTGCGTCGCGAGGTTTTGCATGTCGCGCAGCGAGAGGACTGCCAGTCACGCCTCCTGACTCGCCAATGGCATCAAACAACGACGCGGGTCTCTTGGGGTATCCCATTGCAGAACGCCACCTCCTGAGCCTCGGAATTCATGAGGCCATCCTCATCATGCTGCGTCGTATGGGTGTACCAGTTCCAGAGCCCGTGGGGTACGAACCACCATCACCACATCCGCCTTCCGCGGCGACCAATAGCGTCAGCAGCAACACCCTTGTCTCCTACCAAGAGTCCGGTCATGATGGTATATCCCTCTTCTGGCCGCCCGCTTCCTCACAGCTTGCACCAGAAATGAGCAGGACGCACACTCTCATGACATCCCACGAACCCCGGCATGACCCTCACAGAGGCCTGGCCCAGCATGACGGCTCAGCAGAAGCAATTCGTCCGAGAGCAGCTGGCCTCCATTTTCCGCGAAGTGCGTAGCATACGGCCGTCGCCAGACCATATTTGGCTACCATATAGCTTCCCTGTCCTGCCACTGCGGGACCGCTTTTGGCTACGGCAGACGACGAACCAACCCCTACACGAATTTGACCCCAGAAACCCTGAGTTCTGTCAGCGGTACGGCCCCTTTTCATCTCACGAGAGCTTCGTCGACGCTCTCGTTGAGAGGATCGCCGCCGTCGCATCGTTTGCACTCGATGAGGAGGAGGAGGCCGAGGTCATTGACGTGGTGATGCAGCTGAAAAGATCAAGGGGAGGCGACTTCGTGTTCACGCACGGCAACTTTTGCACCGACAACGTCATCGTGGGCCCTGATGGGCACGTTTTGGCCCTGTTGGACTGGTCGCAGGCAGGCTTCTATCCGAGGTACTGGGAGTGGGTTAAGGCAAGGCTTGCGGCGCGCCAGCATAGTGAGGAATGTGACAATATCTTCATTTCTGAGGATGGTTTGGATGTTATCGAGCCTGGTGTCAGTTGGGAGGATGAGCTCTGGAGCGTAGAGGCTGGTTTCGATGTAATCTGGTAATGTCTGTTATGATGGTTCGCGCTGGTTGAGAAGGGCATAAGCAGGACGAGACATGGGAGGTTTTTTTTTTGCTCTATCTGAGCATCAGTTCCTCGAGAACGATGGGTGCTTTCCGATTTACTGTTTTCTTCTTCATGTGTATTATTCTTTTCTGGTTATTCTTCGTGATGTGGTTGTCTCAAGTTGCTGGACATCTGTATGCTGATTATGACAATGGAGTCTTCTCTGCTTTCCCTTTTTATTGTTGGGACAAACTTGTTATACGGGAGACAATCGTTGACACTGCCTCCGCCTTGCCTTAAAAGCTCATACCCTCGTGATGTATCACCACATTGAGGAGTTCGTCTCTTAAGCTATGCCTCCCGAGCCCAGAGCTCAGCCTACCTAGGGTACAGCAATGGCATCGCAGAGCTTCTTCCTCCGTCAACATCAACTCGGCGCAAGGACGCAAGAATGCTGTTCAAGGCAAGTGACCGACTTGGGAAGAGCTCAACAAGGCTACCGGCCTTTGGTTATTCGCAGATTGGAGGAGCTTGACAAGAAGCTAATTTGATATGTTGCGCTTGAAAGCATGTTAACACAGAGCCTCATCAGAGACAAGCAAGCCACAGGGCCAAGTAGGCAGCTCAATGGATCCCCAAACGCGGTATCATCGCACTAGAGAAGGGCATCATCCATGCTGAGCTATGTGAGAGTGGATTTAAGCTTTGGCAGGACCCCACCGCACTTCCTTACCCTTAGAAAGGGATCCAGAGCAGCGGTATGAGTGAACTCAATGTGGCGCAGCAACACCAAAAACATGTTTCAGTGTAGGAAACACCGTATGAAGTCGCAGGAGGCATGCTAGTTCATGCGCCGGTTGGCGAGGCTTGGCCAATCATGTCATATTGTTAAGACGGGTATCGCTCGTGCGGGCTAGCGAGACCGACAGCCAAATTCAAAGCAGTCAAAACTGGTGTTGCCAGGGCAGACCGCTCAAGAACGCTATTACGGGCCTTCACTGCCACGAGTGAACTCCAGGAAAATATCTCTCACCGAGACCGTATCTCCATCTAAGGCCTTACGCAGATGGACGAAGCTAGTGAACCAAGTACGGGCTGTGACGTTGTAGTAAGCTCGGGGCTAAGAGATCAGCAGAATCAATGTAGGTCCCAATATCTCAACTACCGAGGGTGCATAAGTTGGACATCCAGGCAGCATTGGGCTGACTGCGGGTTCACTAGCTGCGTGGGTGGCCGGTGTGGTGGGTGTAGCAATGGCCGAAAGAAACAGCACGTCCAATGGACGGCACGATGCTCCGCACTTCCCTCTCAGATTTCTAGACCGGTCAAAAGCATGCGTGCTATGCTTTCCATTCCTCCGATTGAATAAGCGGAGGTTGCTGGAACGCGCCATGTATAAGCCCAGACTTGTTGCGATAGACGGCAGTTCCAGAACGAGAGCTTGTCTTTGGCTTCACATTGGTATTGACCTTGCGCTCCTTGAATCGACAATCACAAGGTAAAGACAGATAATCGGAAATCCGAAGGGACTATTCGGCAGGAAATCGACCTCCCAAGAGTCTGTCAGTTGTTGATATCAGGCGACAGCATGCCGTCATGTTCTGGTGTCAAGCTACGCCTGCGATCCAGTGGTGTAGGAAGCCCCAGCATGTCGAGACCTAGCAGCCTCCACAGTTCGAGTGGCGACTTGTGCTGCCGTCTGTTCAGGTGGCGATTATGGAAGCACCAATCGGTCCAAGAGCGGGTTGACAAACCCATTGGCAGCCATGAAGCTGGACGCATCAGGTGTGTCGCCTCTGGAATGCGGGGAAGAGTCTGGGGAGCATGAGGCGGCTCTTTGACATGGGACTATACCCCGAAGTAATTCCCTGAATTCAAAGCCTAGAATAAGCCCAAAAGCGTACCAGTCTGGCCAGTTGCATGAAGTTTGAGCGTCAAGAGCCCGAAGGCCGAAGGGACGCAGAAACGCCATACCATCAGGCTGCCGGCGGGTCAGTATGCTCGCTGCTCTGTCACCAGGCCAATGGAGTCCTGCCACTCCTTTCTGCATTAGAAAAAAAGGTCAGGAGACCTGTCATGCCGGAAGATGAATCATATTACTTCCCATACATCGTGTGCGTTGTGTTTGACTGCCATCAGCTAAGGCCGAACACCGTATGACGGGGTACACAGGTTGGGCATACACACAGCTCGGCAGGTCACAGGATTGTACAGTGCGCTTCTGAGGAGGTCATCGGCTGTATCGGGAATCATTGCTTCTCAAAACTCTGCGGGTGCCGGGGCCCCTTGTCGATGCTTGAAGGATGAAGTCGTTGGCCATTCCAGGCAAAATTGGCCTTCGCTGTGCTTAGGCCATCCGTGATCCGAGGGTGGAGCAGGTACAGTGGATGGCGGGGTTACATGTGCGGGGTATTGAACGTGGTTGCTCCTTCTCCACACGAACCAACAGTGACGACAACACGAGTGACGTGACTGGTGACTGGAGAGGAACGTAGGAGTCTGGTTGAGCACTCAGAGAAGCAACGACAGACTCAATTTTTGCCTTATCAAGGCAACAGGCCAGGCTACCCCCCAGTTCCTGCCGTGACTGCAGTCAGCTGCGAGTCTGTAGAATATTGATGCTGCGAGCTTGTGCTTGATTGCTGGAAGAATTGAAGGTCTGAATAAGGAGGTTTATGAGACTATACTGCGCGTGCAGGAACCTGACTGGTGTCCGCCATCAAAAGCAATCAATTTGGCTGCACCGTGCGGTAGCCATGACGATATGTTCAGAGCCTGGGCCTGCTTCCCTCAATCAAGTACCTTCCAGATACGCAGTGCGCAGCAAGTAGGATGCTTTGCGTGGCAGGCATCATCTATCTACTGTACAGAGTGCGCCTACTTTCCCACCACATCAGGCGGAAGTCTCCACCATAAGTGGATGATGAGGTGCCTAGACTGGCACAGATGCGGCGAGGCTTGCATGAGCACGTGAATAACGAAGAGGCAAGCACGAAGAATGGCGAGAAGCAGCACCGTGGCCAGGATTCAGACGAGGTTCTCCAGCTTTTCACGATCTTCTGTAGACCCGGCTATCTGTACTGTATTTGCACACCAGTCTTCGGGTAAGAGCAATGTGCCAAGCGCTTTCTCAACCCTGAGCAGCTACCTCCGGGCCTGGACGATCCTACCTGGTAAGACCACATCAGGCAAATGGTCTGTGCGGCCTCTATCCAGCTGTTCCGAAGACTACAAAGCGCCCATGACATTGGACCAAGGAACGAACGTCTTTGCTTGCAACAACACCATTTCCTTCATTGATACCATCATCGCCCCCAGCGCTCCCTCCGCCCCGCCCCCGCGCTCTCCTCCCTTGTCCCTTTTCTGGATCCATCAGCGTGCAGCCATAGATTGCAGTTTTGCTTCCATCACCTCGCTACTGGGCCCCCCACCACCACTACCACAGCCTTCACCGACGACAGCCTCTGGAGCCGCTACTCGAGCGCACGACGACCAGAAGGGTGACGAGGTGGACGGCCATTCGTTCGCCTCCTCCGCCGCCCGCCACACGTGTCCCCTTTATCTGCATCCCGACACACGCCTGAACAGAGCCCCGGTCGCCCTCTTGATCACCGGACACACCACAGTCCCCCTCTCGCACGTCTACCTGCCTGTTGCTCGGGATGCAGCCTGGTGGAGTGCAGTGCAGCTGCCGCCTCTCTGGAAGTCCAGACGCCAGCGACCATGATCATGGGGTGGTGAATCCACCAGTCTGCCGTCCTGCCGGTCTGCGACTCGGCCGGCTCGTGCGCTGTTGCCCTGAGGCCTCCGCATTTCTCATCATTGCAGCTTCACAATGCAAACCAAATCCGCGCCAGCACATCAACACGGTGTGACCTGCATACGTCGGAACCAGACTCGCAATATCCAGCAGCGCTGGCCTTCACAGGATCCGTAACAGGACCCCCGGCCCTTGAAGCGACATCAGACGTCTGTTTTTGTCGCCCAAGAGGAGCAAAGTTGACCATGAGGTATCTCGGCCGCTGCGTCATGGCTTGCCCCGTCCTCCATGACCAGGTGCGGCAACATGTCGATCCCTGTAGGTCAGCCATCAGCCCATGCCAGGCTTTCGTAGAGCGGACAGCTCTTCTGACAGGGATACAAAGTACCTACATGTACCTGGGCATAGATTCGTGGGTGAAGTCTTGATCCTGGCTCAGAACATGGGAGAGCGAAAGGAGCAGCAGGCTCAGATCGCGACGGCCGAGACCTGCTTTACTCTACTCTCATTGTCGTATTATGGCGTAGCCGATGCTTTTCAGCTCCATGCATCTCCATCAAACAAGACTTGACTTTCGCGAACTAAACACATCAGACTGGTCAAAGACGGTTGCCACGACTTATCTCGGCGCTTTGGGATATCGCCGCGTCCTCGATCGAGTCAAGAAACCATGTGCTCAGGTCACTCCATCCATAGACAGCTGTTCCCAGGCCTCCGCACTCCCCCAGTTCCCGACGTTTCCAGGCCAGTCAGCGGTCGTCCTGAGCCTGCGAGAGCAACAAGGTTTCCCGGGTGTTTGGAACCATGACCCAAAGAACTCTCCTCGAAGAGGGCTTATCCCTCCTTCATTCCGTTCTTCTTTTCGTACCGTCCAGGCGTTTTCCGATACTCCTCCCCGCGATTCAGACGCCCTCGAGAGTCTGTGACAAAACAATTCCCTGGGCTCGTGCCACACCGAAGGTTGACATCCTGATGTACTATCGATTCCGGAGTGTCTGCAAGTCTCCGCCCCCACGCCATGTCCCGCGAAGTCGATGACATTGGCATAGCTCTAGCAGGGACGTCCATGGAAAAAGTTTCTTCATTGGAACCGCCTCGTTCCCGATGCTTGACCATAGTCTCACACTGTGTGTAGCTGCATTACAACGGCGCTAAGGATTCGTTTTGGACTACCACAAATTGGTCGTCAAATGGTCATATGCAGCCGGATCCCAAGCATATACCTGCAGGTACCTTTCCAGAGACCGAACGGCACCCCTGCCCCTATTCTCGGACTCGTGAGCACTTGACACTTTCTCCCTCTCGGCGAAGCACGAGTGCCTATTGTTCTCTCACGCCACTAGTGTGGGGATATCGGAGACTTTGCCTAGGCTGAACAATGAGTAGGCAAGAAGAAATTGTGCCTGGGTCCAGGTTGAGGCTCACCCGGAGGACATCGCCCACCCGGCAAGTCCCTATAAGTGCCTTGGAACCCCTTCACAGTTTATCGAACCAGGTCCTCGTCTCCATTCCATCCGAAGACAAATTCTGTATCCTTATTTCGTGTACCTCCTGACTGCTCGTGGCTGGCCTCAACAACTGCTGATCCATGGTTTATCTTGGACACACTGCATCTCGTCATACATTCACACTACTTCCAACGCGAATTCTCGCTGCATCTGCCACGCCACCCCGTCACCGATTATTCTGCTCTGTCCACCGACACATCATGGCTCCTCATCACGATGCCTTGTCACCGACTGGCAGTTATACAGCGGGCTTTAACCATTTCTCTTACAGACAAGCACAATCCTCAGAACTCAGAATGGGTGACATCAGCCCTACGGGATCGCAGGCTTCTCTAAGTAGCTCTTACGACAGCTCCTCGCTCGAGCCGGCGGCCCATGCGGTTCGTCCACTGTTACCCGGGGTGTACGTGCCCACCATGTGCTTCTTCGAACCGGAGACAGAAGACCTTGACACGGACACGATAGCTCACCATGCTGTGCGACTTGCACGAGCGGGTGTGACAGGCTTGGCCACACAAGGGTCCAATGGCGAGGCGGTTCATCTAACGCACGCAGAACGCCAGCTAGTCACTGCTACCACGCGACAGGCGCTTGACGATGCGGGTTTCCGTTCCATGCCCATCATAGTGGGATGCGGTAGCCAGAGCACGCGTGAAACTATCCAGTATTGCAAGGAAGCTTGGGCAGTGGGCGGTGACTACGCCCTGGTCCTGCCGCCATCCTATTACGCGTCACTCTTTGCGCCGTCATCGGAGACAGTTTTGGAATACTTCCACAAGGTGGCGGATGCATCGCCGATCCCCATCATCATCTACAACTTTCCCGGTGCTGTGGGAGGCATGGACCTTTCTTCCGATACCATCATCGCGCTCTCCAGCCACCCCAACATCGTAGGCGTCAAGCTCACCTGTGGCAACACGGGAAAACTCAACCGCGTGGCAAACGCGACCCGAAGACTATGCAAGAATTACGATCACGAGCGCCCTGAGTTCCTGGTCTTGGCCGGATCGGCAGATTTCTCTATCCAGTCACTCGTCGCGGGGGGCCACGGCATCCTGGCGGGACTAGCCAACATTGCACCCAGGGCCTGCATCCGGACCATCGAGCTCTTCCGAGCGGGAAAGGTCGCGGAAGCGCAGAAGTTCCAGGACGTCGTGTCCCAAGGCGACTGGACAGCGATCCAAGGTGGTGTCGTGGGTGTCAAGGCCGGATTACAGGCCTGGATGGGTTACGGAGGCTCCGCTCGTAGTCCGCTGCCAAAGCCGACTGTGGAGCAGACAAAGAGGTGGCAGAGTGGCTTCAAGGAGCTGGTGCTCCTCGAGAAGACTCTATGAGGTGGCCGGGACAGAGGTCCCAGGCCCGACGGTCGTTGGGGTTTCTCGGGAGTTTTCCACCGAACAACGTACGAAGATGCGCCTGGCGTGTCTTGGGTTGGAACCAGATCAAAATGGCGTTCCACAGTGCATTGGCACTTGAAAAGCAATATCTTCTCGATGTGTGTGTGTTCAGAGATTTAGGCTTATCGTACGACAGTGTGGTTTGTGTTTCGTTCAAGGGCGGGCGTCCGGCGTCTACTATGAAGGCGGGTTGTCACAACGCTTCTGTTGTCCCATGACAGGAGTCACGAGGCACCGAAGAAGCAAAAGGGATCGCGTAGCATCAACGTCTCCCAAGGCAAAGTCCACAGCGTGGTCGGTAGTGAGGTCGTTGGTGGAGGCTTGTCCAAAAAAGAAAGGCATGTGTGAGACGAGGCCGACTGGAAGTCATGTAGTTGTGGACTATAAGTGAGCAATACGAATACTTGTCGCCGAAGCCCTCCGCGCCTCGTAACACGGCATGCGCAGCCGACACGCCGAACTGCATATGTGGGAAGAGGAAGGCTACGCATGTAGCTGACCTTTTGGTACGGCACCAGAGATGTAAGATGACTGTTGCGGCTCGGTGGTTCAATTCGGGGCCGTCGGTGGTGGGTGACTCAGCTGGTGGCTGGCTCCTGCCAGGCTGCTCAGGTGCCTAGGTACCTAGGTCCCAGCTAGGGAGGTACCTTGATGTTGTAGCTCATGGCACCTACCTGTGTTCCTTGGGTCAAGAACAACAACAGTCGTGGTTTCAACGACGCCTCTCGTCCCAGAGATGCGCATCTTCCCAAACAAAGCTCGCCCTGCGTGGGTAGCTGCATCGCATGGCCCGCGTGGCATGTTTGTCTGTTCGCAATGACGACGCTGTACCGCCATGGGGACGCCCTTTGCTACAACTCGTCCCATATTTTGTTTTGTCCAACGGGGCCGGCCAAGGCTCTCTCTCTGGTCCTCCCACGCGGGTCGCTCATCTGATCCATCGCCACTTGGGCTAGTAGCGACTGAAGAAGGAAAAGCAATACTGACTGAACCGGTGGTCTGTTTCTTATTTTCGACCCCTTTTGATTGCCCCTGGCCAAATGTCGACATCCGCCGCCTCTCCAGAACCAGTGCCTCTCCAGAAGCAGTGCTACTGACTGCCGCAGATCCGCCCATACCCTGCCAATCTCGCGACGAAATACGCACGACGACAAGGCCCGCCTACAGTGCACTGCGCTAGGTGGATGGACACCATGTCATGTCATGGCCCAGTCGATCGTAATGAGTGAGACGTCAGGAGAGCCTGCGGCGGTGAACGTTGTTCGCCAGGACGCTATTACGCCTGCTTGTCCCTGACTACCCCCCCGGGCTGATCGGCAGCCTGCAGGACGATAGAACCTCCCGTCTGGTGGGACGGCAGCTCTTTTTTTGGCGCTTATCTGCGTCACAGCCCACACACGTCGTGTCCCTGGGAGCTGCCTTGGGCCCTACCCAGCCGGCTCCCTCCTCTTTACCAGTCTTCTACACGTCTGATCGACATTTGCCCAATTGGCAGCACCAATGCTCAACGAGGCCACATAATCCGAAAAGGGAAAAAGATGGGTGGGGTGCAGATCTCTTTCGTCCTGCCCTGACCAGGGGAAGGGGCTGCTGATCCAGTGGCAGGGCAGCATGAAGACTTTCCCAGTGGAGGGCGAGAGACGCCCCTTACTATGATGCAGCTGCCATGTGTGTTTTCTGATCCCTCCGACATGTCAATGACCTCCATCCACAGCTCGCTCTCACCCTTCAGGCGGAACGAACGGCTTGCTGGGAGTCCAACCAGCAAACAGGGAATCAACTGGCCGAGCTGGGCTGCCCCTGACGAGTGTGATGAGGGGGATATTGATGGTTGATTCTGGGACTAGTACCAGTGCCGGGGTTCCCGTTTTCGTTCGGATTCCCACCAGCCAGCCAGCCGGTCGTCGTACTGTGCGTGGGATCGTTCATCGACAAACCAATCTCGGCCGAGCGACCAACGCCAACGCAGTGCTGCTGCCGGCTTCTGATCGCCTCAACAGAAAGCTGGGGGACATCGGGTGTTGTTTGAACCGTCGTCCCGCAGCCCCATATGCGACCCTCTGCGCCCCAGGTACGCACATACCTATGCACACATGCTATGTCCCCATGGCCACAAGGTTGGTGGAGCTGTCACCATGGGTCAGGTGGAAACTGGAAGCTCAAGGGAGGGGCTTGGTAGGCAAGACGAAACAGCCGAAGGGACAATGGCCTTTAGTGAGATGATCGTAGACCATGAGTTGCGCGTGTGTCTCGGCGGTGCTGGCCGCCTCCTCTCGAACATATAACCCTGAGGGCGTCCCCCCCGTCCCCCTTCTCGACTCTCCCCGCGGGCAGCAGCACATGGGCTATCGTCTCCTACACTCTTTTGCATCCGACCCACTGACGCAACCATGCTTCTCCCCTCCTTCACGGCGCTCTGCGCCCTTGCCACCATCCCTTGGGTGGACGCGCGGACAGATTATCCCGTGGTGGGCGTCAAGTCTGGCATCAACCCCCTCACGGGAGAGACACCTGCAAGGAGGAATATCAGTGCCCTCTACGAAGAGGCTGGCCCGCAGTGGTAAGTGAGACACGGGTTTCTGAGAGGTAAACGACCTGCATACGCTAACCCAACCTCCAGGGACCTTTACGTCGACGCACTGAAAGCCATGCAACGAACCAACGAGACGGACCCCCTCTCCTATTTTCAAATTGCCAGTCAGTAGCACCGAGAAACCTGTAAAATGGCGCCAACCATGTTCGTTGCTGACGCTCACAAGGTATCCATGGGCAGCCATACGGGCCTTGGCCACCAGGCGCTGCTCAGACGGGAGCTCAGCAAGGATACTGCCCTCATAATGTGAGTTTCATTGTGCAATAAACTCTTAAAGTTTGATCTAACGCAAATGATAGGAGGCTTTGTTCGGGACGTGGCATCGCGCCTACTTGAGCCTTTATGAGGTCGGCTACTACCCTGCCAGTTGATACGCGAGATTAGCACTGACGCGACGCAGCAAACTCTCGTCAAGCACGCCCAGGAAATCGCCCAGACGTATCCCCCTAGGTACAGAAGGCAATACACAGAAGCTGCTGATCGGCTGCGTGCTGCCTGGTGGGACTGGGCGTCTGACTCTCGCGTTCCTCCCGTTACCACGCAAAAGACCGTCGTCATCAATAGACCTTACGGAGACGGTGTGCGCCCCCTGAGAGTACTCAACCCGTTCTACACCTACAAGTATCCCCAGTCGGCACAAGACGGGGCCTTTGGCAGGTTCAGCGGCGTAGGCAACACGAAGCGGTGCACGCAACAGGGCAACAGCTTTCCCAAGTCGGCAAACGAGCTGCTGTCAAAGATCTCGCTCAAGAGTCAAGTGGTAAGGACCGTCGATTTGGACGAGACGATGCTGCTGGCTAACAGAGTGGAAAGTATACTGCCCTCAGCCGTGCCAAGTCATGGTCGGAAATCAGCACCTCGGCCAACGGCGGCTCCAGCATTGAAGGCCCTCACGGATCGATTCACATACGCGCCGCCTGCGGGCTTGACTTTGTCTACCTTGAGACATCTGGATTTGAACCCTTGTTGTATGTCCCTCGCTGACGATACGCCTCGGCCGCATGCCGCATGCCACCTTCGTCGGAACACTAACAGCAGAGCAGCATGCTCCACCATGTGAACGTCGACCGGTTCCTTGCCTTCTGGCAGGTCCTCCATTACGAGAACGGGAAGATCGAATTTAACTACAAGACTGACGGTCTTTATGCCACGCCAAAAGGTACTACTGTCACAGCCAAGTCTCCCCTTCGGCCCTTTGAGAACGAGCGCGGTCCCCTGACCAGCGAGGACATGACCAACATCGGCGACTGGGGCTATACGTACGAACCCATCGAGTTTTGGAGGCAGAGCCCTGCAGAACAGAAGCGCGTGGTCACCCAATACGTCAACAAGTGGTACGGTCCCCAGCGCCAGGTGACGGCTCCCCGCGCTGTGAAGGCTAGGGGTGTCGCCGAGCCTCAGTATTACGCCAACCTCGAAGTTGAGAGGTCAGAGCTCGCCCTGCCCGCCATGGTGGATCTGTACGTCAAGGGACGCCATGCCGGCTCCTTTGCCCTGCTTGGCATGCCCATGCACGGCAAGAGTTACGAAGAGATTCCGCTGCAGCAGGCCATTCAAGACGCGGCGTTTTCCCTGAACATCACATCCGCACTGGGCATGCGTGAGGTCCTCAACCATCACCTCGAAGCTCGCATCACAAAGGTTCGTCACGTATTCGGCCACCTGGCGCCGTTGAAACCGCCAGCTAACATGGCTGCAGCCCGACGGGACCTTGATCCCGCTCGAGACGGTACCTAGCCTCAAGATCGACCTCGAAGAGGTCCAAGTCGCCGCGCCCGAGACGGACGAGGAGCTTCCCCAGTTCGGGCGCGCCGACATTCGGCCAGCTCGTGTCAAGGCGCTTACCAAGGAGGTCGTCGAGGTTCTTGTCACGGTTCACGTGCCGTGCCCAACAGAGACGCCCTCATACGGAGTTCTCTGAGCGCTGAGGTTGTGGAGGTGGAGCTTTGTTCATACGCGTTGCTTGGGTTGTGACATGCACATTATGTTCTCTGCATATTCATCACTTCTTCCTCTCATTTGTCTGTCCTACGACTCCTCGACGGAGGATCCCCAGGGGAGGTTTGTATTCAAGGGCATTTACTCTTTATCCGGGGCTGGATGACTCGCACGCCAGAACGATAATCATTATTATCTCTGCTTCTCTTTGATCGATGGTTGCTGCTAAAAGCGACGCTTGATACCAGGTTGATGCTTTAGGTCCCTCCCCTCCTTTCCGAGACTTAGATACCCGCGTCCCACGATGCTTGAACCGCTTGACGTTCGCGAAGTGAAACTGGCACTGTTGCACAAAAGGGCAGCGGGGGCGGGGAGGCCGCCTTGTTCTGGGTCCCGCATTGTGACACCATTTCGCAAGTCCCGTCGGCGGTGCCGCGGCGACGAAAGGCCCGATGACAGTGGGCGCGGGTGCAATGCGATGTCTCCGGTGGCATGTCCCGCAGGGCCGTCGTCTAAACTGACGTCGGCGGCATCTCCGAGCGGGTATCGGCCCCCCACCCCCTGTGTCTACTATGCAAGCAATCCATCTCCCCAAGCCGTATGGCCAAAGACTACAGAGCCTACAGCAGACACAGCAGCCGGGCGTGCTGAGAGACAGAGAGAGGGAGGGCGCTGCTCAAGAGGCACCGGTCCGCCGGCCGACGACCCACACGCCCGCGGCACCGACCTGCAGGAGCAGCGCGCAGACGGCAAAGACACGGCCCGCGGCGTCGGCGGACCCCTCGCCCATGAGCTGCAGGCTCAGCACGACGAAGACGTTGAGCGGCACGCGCAGGGCGGCGTAGGCGCGGCCGCGGACGGCGTCGGGGACGAGGGCGTTTTTGAGCGTCGCCTGGGCGGGGAAGTAGGCGCCGACGACGGCCTCGAAGGCGCAGAAGAGCCAGAAGGCGGGCTGCGGGCCCGCGGGGCGGGAGGCGAGGGCGTGCAGGAGGAGCGAGGCCGTCGCCAGCAGCAGGGCGAGCAGTGTGGGCGGGGCCAGGTGGGCGGTCAGGCGTGGATAGGCGAGGGACGAGAGCAGGGTCGCCGACATGAAGGAGGCGAAGATGAGGCCGTAGGGGAGGGGTGCTGGAGAGGATGCGGACGAGGCGGCGGCGGATTCCAGGACGGGCGCCCAGAGGACGACGAAGAGGTACATGGAGCCCTCGAAGGCTGTGGAGGCCACGGCCAGGGCGAGCATGCCGGGCGTGGTGAGGGTGTTCCACAGGGACACAGTCGCCGTCGTCTCCTGCTTTTTCGCGTCGGACGTGGAGGGCGTCGCTGTGGCGCCGTAGTTCTCGTCCTGGTTCTGTTTAGCTGCAGTGCCCAGTTTCAGGACCTCAGTCCGGCATGCCGAGGATGGACGCGAAGACGACCTACCCATGCCACGAGCATGCACACGGCTGCCACGCCGACGAGGAGGGCGCTCGCGCCAAACGGCGCCCTCGACGTCCCGACGAGCCCGACGAGCCACTCGCTCGCGAGGCCGCTGACAATGGCCACGACGCTGTTGACGGTACTCATGAGCCCAAACGTCGCCGAGAGATCGCCGCCCCCCGCCACGCTCTGGGCCCTCTCGCCCCCGCGCCGCCCGTGCCTCTGCCTCGTCACGTCAGCCACCATCCACGTCTCAAAGACGCTGAACAGCAGACTCGTCGCCAGCCCGCCGAGCGCCCGGCCGACGAACAGCAGCGCGACGCGCATCGGCGCCCGGCCGCCAGCCGACCCGCGGTGGGGCGGCCCCGGGCGCCGGGTAGGCCGTCAGCAGACTCGAGGACGCCGAGGCGAGGCAGAAGACGAGGCAGGCGGCGCGGGCGGCCGTGGGCGTCGGCGAGGGCGCCGATGAAGGGCGCCGAGAGGGCGCCGGCGAGGAAGCCCGTCGTGAAGAGGGCGGGGACCAGGTGCGGCGGCAGGGCGTGCTCGTCGCGGTAGAGGCTGTAGAGGAAGGGGCCCTGGAGCCAGTCGGAGGCCATGACGAGGGCGTAGACGAGGAAGAAGGAGGTCTGGGACGACGACGGGCTTTCTGCCCTTGCCCTCGATGCGGCATTGTTGCTGCTGTCTGCCTTTGCCTTTGATGTGGTCGTGGTGTTGGCGGCGGGAGGCCTGGTCTTGGTCTTGGCGGAGGGGCGCGTCGCGACGAGTACGCCGCAGGCTAGGAGGAGGGCGGCGAGGTTGAGCTGGTATGTGTCTAGCATGGTTGTTGCGGGATGTGAATGAAAAACGAGGTTGGGGGGGATGAGCGCGTGGCCGTGGTCGTGATCATGGCGAGAGACAAAGTGTCGTCTTGGGGTCGTGGTCGTGGTGCACGGCGAGTTTCACCACGACTCCTGGCGCCGTGTCCCCCGGCCGCGTTTGGACCCCTGCACGGACAAGTTGACATGATGATGCAGTGCAGAGACGCAACGAACAAACTCAATCGGAGTACCTATATAGTGATGCAAACTATAGTCCACGCCGGGGTATCGTCATCATCGCAGGTATAAAAAAAAAGACCCCCCAAAAAAAAACAGCGTGTGTGCTCATGTACAAGCAGCGAACAACTGCGCCCCCCCGTGCCTCTCCCTCAGTGACCTTGCTTTCCGTTCTGCGCTTCCATGACACTGCCGTCACTGGCGTCGCCCTCTTTTTCCGCCTTGGCCTTTTCCTTGCTCTCGGCCTTGGCCTTTTTGTACTTTTGCCACTTCTTCTGCGACCAGCGGTGGCAGCGCCACACGAGGAAGACGAGAATGGTGGACGGCAGCGTAAAGGCCCAGAAGATCCAGAACTCTTCCTTGGCCAGGTTGGGCAGGGACTCGATGGAGAAGATGGCGGCGAAGAAGGCGCCGGGGAGGAACAGCATGGTCATCATGGCGATGGAGCGCATGGCCGAGCTGTCCTTGCGCGCGGCTTCGGCGAGCTCGGCACCGAGGCGGGCGTCCTCGTGGGTCATCATGCTGCGGATCTGGTAGGCGGTCAGCGCGCTGTCCCCTGCTGGAGAAGTAACAGAGAGAGAGAGAGAGAGAGAGAGAGAGACAGGGAGAAACGCACAACGCTGGACTGGCAGCCGGCGCGAGTCTCGAGGTAGCGCAGGGACGGCGTCAGGTCGCTCGTGAGCTTCTTCAGAGGCGGCACCTGGGGGCTCAGGGTCGCAAAGGCGAGGTTCCAGGGGGTCGCGAGGTCCGAGGGCGCGAGGTCGCGCCACTTGGACACGAGGCCGGGCTGCTCGAGGTACTGGGCCATGTCCTTAATGTAGGCGTCGTGGCGGACGAGGTTCGCAATGTGGACCTGCGTGTTGGCGACGTTCTGGGCGGCCCGCGACAGCTTATCGATCGTGGGCTGGGTGTAGCCCTGGTTGTCCATGGCGATGGGTCCGTTGCCGGGCCCATGCCCCGTCAGCGTCTCGACGCTGCGCAGGTCGGTGACGATGGTGTGGATGGCGTACTGCGACATGCGGCAGAGGTTGATGAAGACGACGAAGAGGAGGAAGAAGGGCGAGTGGATGCAGCGGCTGTACAGGTTGAGCGTCTTCTGGATGCTCGTCAGAGCCAGCGTGCCGTGGAGGAGCACGGGCGTGTTGCGCAGCAGCAGGATGGCGTGCGTCTTCATGGTGGCGGGGTTGAAGGACCAGGCGAGCGCAAAGACGTAGGTGCCAATGTAGAAGCTGTAGGTCCCGCGATAGGGCTCGTCGTAGTGGTGGAAGCCGTAGCTGCTGTAGGCGATCTGCTGCAGGATGATGGGATCGATGTCGAAGTCGTCAAAGAGCTCGAGGAATCGTTCCTTGGCCATGTCAATGTCATCGTCGCCGCCGCGGTCGATGACGACGAGCTGCAGAGACGGAGAGATGTGTGCGGGCGCCGATGAAGGCGTTGTTGCGGGTGCGGGTGAAGGCAAAGGCGAAGGCGAAGGCGAAGACGCGGTTGCCGGTGCCGGGGCCGGGGCAGCGAGGTCTGTCTTCAACTTGGTTTCGGAAATCTTGCCCATGTCGTTGAACTGGGGAACACCGTCGTTGTCACATTCAATCTTGATGAGACGGACGTCAAAATGCTTGCATGGCACGGGTGGCTTCTTGAACTTGGCCGAGTCCTTGAAGGCGTCGGGTGACAGGCGGCGGAGGACGTCCATGGCGGCGGGTGCTGCTGGTGCTGCCGCTGCTGGTGCTGCCGCTGCTGGTGCTGCTGGCGTTTGGCTGTCGAACGAGGTAGTCGATCAGATGCTTGACGTCGTGTGCAGATCGTGTTGGCTTGCTGCTGGTCCAGCAGGGGATGCGAACAACCCTGGGCCGTCTGTCATCTTTATGCGCTGGGTGTGACAGCCTCGGACAGGGGACGAAGCGGCTCTGCATCGGTCACTCACACAAACCCCCCCCAGGCTGGCCCCCAACTGTGCAGATTCCGAAGCCGAAAAAAAGAGGCGCCCAGCTGAATCCAGCCTCACGGCGCCAGGGTTGCCCATTGGGTTGTGTTGATGGTGGTGAGGGGTGGTCACATTGCATCGAGGACGAGCCCAGGGTCGGTCGAGCCAAGGGTCGAGGTGTGTGTGTGTGTGGGAAGCGCGGGAGGCACAGACCGCGGACCAGCGAGGGGCCGCTATTATGACAGGGTGCATCCCCTAGAAGCAATACCTACCTAGGTACAGGAAGGTACCTAAGATAGGCACATTAGGGTAGGTAAGGTAGGTAGGCATAAGGTACCTTGGGAATACCATACCCTATAGGCCCCCAAGGTAGGTACCTTGGCTAAAGGCCCTTGATCCACCTGGCTATGTAGGTCCTTAGCAAGCCTAGGTAGCCACCAGGTAGGGATGTACTAACTATCTACAAGGCTCTAGCACTGCCCCGCTGCACCTTGCGCGCGCCACATCCATACGTCACAGTACCTCTTGCCTTTTTCCACTCGACCACCGCCAACCGTTCACGATCCTGTCATGAGTGAGGCTCTTCACGACCGACCCTTGCCATGCCATGAGCCGCCGACCCGTCACTGTCGATTGAGCACGCATCTATCGGCCATTTGGTGACCACTGCTGTCTGTCAACTCTGACCACCCGCGACTGCATCCACACACACACACACACACACACACGCATACACACACATACCCTCGCCCATCATGCAGGGCTTCAACATGGGCCGCTACGTGCCCCCCGACCTCGAAGGCACCGTCTCCGGCAACGCCCTCCACGCCAAGCTGCCGCCGGGCCGCTCCGCCGCCAAGCCCGGCGTCCAGACGGTCCGCTTCGAGATGCCCTTCGCCATCTGGTGCTCGACCTGCCCGAAGCCCACCATCATCGGCCAGGGCGTGCGCTTCAACGCCGAGAAGCGCCGCACCGGCGCCTACCACTCAACCCCGATCTGGACCTTCCGCATGCGCCACGCTGCCTGCGCGGCACCCATCGAGATGGCCACCGACCCCCGGAACACGGCCCTACGTCGTCGTCGCCGGCGCCGCGAAGCGCGACACGGGGCCCGCCGCCCGTGACGGCGACCTCGTCGTCATGACCGACGAGGAGAGAGGGCCGCCCTGCGCGCCAGCGCCTTTGCGAGCCTCGAGAAGACGATCGAGGACCGCGAGGCCCGTCGCCGCGGCGACGGACCGCATCGACGACCTCGAGGACGTGGCGCGCCGCCAGTGGCAGGACCCCTATGCGCGCAACCGGGCGCTGCGCCGCACGTTCCGCGTCGGCCGCCGGGAGAGGGAGCGCCAGGCGGGTGTGGACGACGGCGTGCGCGCGCGCATCGGGTTCGACTTGGACCTGCTGCCCGCCACCGAGGCTGATGCGACGAGGGCTGCCCTCGTCGAGTTTGGGCACCACAACGATGACGACGCGGGGCAGCGTGCCGCAGGGCATTGGCGAAGCCTTCTGGTCGTCAAAGCCCGCGGAGACGGCGAGAAGGAGAAGAACAAATCAACAACAGGGCCCCCGCCGGCGGCACGGCGGCGGCGGCGACGACGCCAAAGAGCAAGCTGCTCGCTTCCCAGCGAAGAGCAGGCTTCGTGTCAGAGCTTGTCGGCAACACGCGCATGGCCACCGATCCCTTCCTGGTGGAGGCCAAAATGTCGAGTTCATCAACCAAGATCAAAGGCCTGATTCCAGGGATCAAGCGCAAGAGAGAGGCTGCGGAAGAAGCGGACGCAGAACACCCGACGCGCGAACCGACACAGCACGACACAACACCATCACGACAGGACACGGCACCACCAACGGGGTTGGTAGCCTATGACTCGGAATCGGATTGAGAAACGGCTCACATCCCAGGGACAAATTGCATGAGACGGCGGCGTTATTTTTCACATGTTTGCTTTCACGTCAAGATACCCCGGGTTGGCACTGATTTGGTATGGAAGAACCATCAACCAATAGCCATGATATGCAACTTGATCTCATGCTTCTTCGCCCTTCATCTGAACACGAATGGTAAAGTCAATCATTCCCTAAACCTAAAGGCCGCCTCATCCAGGGGGCATCCATGTATGACCTATTCAACGAATATCCCAAAAAGCACGGAAAGCAATCCAAACACACCCTACACAGTCCGGTCATGGAGTCGAGGGCCCTGCGCTTCGATCCTCTGCATAAAAACTCCCCATCATTTCAAAACGCCCCGTAGGCAAGTACTCCGCGAGCAGCAAGTGGCCCGAAAGGCAAACAAGAAGAAGAAAAAGCTCGCTTGACCTGGCGACGGATGGATTTTTAGACACGGCTCGAAAGGATCAGTGCCACTGGCTGTCGTAGCCCCGCTGGTTCGGCCAAGCGGCAAGGAGGCAAGAGAACAATCAAACATCCATCCTACCAGCGGGCTGGTCGTCGTCGTCATCGCCGAAGCTGCCTACCGAAGACATATCGTCATCGTCTTCGCTTTCTGCGCCAGCCTCGTTTGCTGCGTCCTTGCTCGCGTACTTTTGCACGTATTCTGTGGTCCATCATCAGCACATCATTGCCTTCTTATGACCGTCTCGGGCATCACACACCCTTGACCTTGACGTCGTAGCTCTTAGGCTCCCTGATCATCAGGGCGGCCGCCTCGCCGTTGAGCGGATCGGTGGGGTTCGGGTATCGCAGAAGCTGAGGGAGGAAGACCTCGAAGATGTTGATCATATCGAACATTGGCGACCAGGTCTGGTTGATGACGTCCAGGCACACGGAGCCCGACCTGCGAAGAGGTCCGCGTCAGTCTTTCATACGTCCTGTTTGTTCCATTGGCTTCCTGCTCTTCTGTAGGCCAACTCACAGCTCGTCAATATTGGGATGGAAGATTCGGTTGACGAAGCCGATGCTTGGAGATTTGTAGGGGTAGTTGTCGGGGAGCTCAACGTGAACTTTCCAATTGCCGCCTTCGAAGGGTGCTGCTCCAGGTCAGCATACAGGTCCGCCATTCCATGTTTGTAGTGTGGTCCGACTGACTCTCCGTGGGGCCCTTGAAGCGGACGTAAAACTCTTGCCTGTGTCGGAGTGATCAGAATGTCGTCGAGCGTACGGTTGGCCGTCGAATCACTGCTTACACTTGGATCGGTTAGCAACGGGTATGGGATGAAGGACGGGATACGAGGGAACTCGGAGACGAACTGTTGTCATTCACAAGCGTGACTTCATAGTCGCTCATGAGCCTAGAGGCAGTGTTAGTTGTACCATGGGGTCAGCCATGACTGAAGAGATCGTACATCCTGCGACATGTTAGCTAGTGGGACTGCTGCACTACGGAACAGCGACACCGTACTTCATGACCTGTTGAATGTATCAGTCAGCAACACTGCGTCCTTCTGGCAACCTTGCGTACAATGTGAGGGAGACGGAGCACATACATCAGTCTCGATTCTGCGGCGCGGGCTACTCATCTTGCTAGATGTTGTGGGTTCTCGCGGTGGGTGACGTTATCAATTCGATGGTTGCGTCGACGGGCTATGAACGTGGTGGAGATATGTGCTTGTTGAGAGATGATTCGCAATGCTTCGACTCGACTGAAAGGCGAAAGGCAGAGGTTGTTGGAGGAAACGGGGTTCAAATCAGGCTGTGCTGTATGCTGGGCTGGGGGGTCAGAGGGCGAGTCACGAGATGATGTAGAAAGGTTGACAAAGAGGGGTGAAGTCGGGTTCCTCCTGGAACCGTCTAAGTTGCAGTCACGCGTGATGATGCAGTGAGGTGGGCAGCACCGGGACGATAAGCTAGGCCGGATGGGTCTGATAAGCCAACGAGCTCCTTGTTGGCGGGGTCCATCCCTGGATCGCCGAGCCGAGTGGGATGCTGGTCCCCTGACGTGTGACGGCGCTTGCCCACTACGACCGACCAGCGTCCTTGTGCCTGCTCTGCTGGAGCCCTTGCACGACTGAACGACTCTGAGGATGCTAAACGCGGGATGCGGTTGTTGCTCAGCTCCGTGCTCCGGGGGTGGGCAATATGTGAATCGGGATGCGACTGCTGCCTGCCTAGGCAGACAGTGAGGAACATCACGACGTGGCGACATTCAGGAAGGGGTTTCGTTGCATATGGGAACCTCAAAAAGGTAAGGTATATGCGTGACGCACATGCCTGAATAGTGCATCAAAAAAGGAGCCTGCTCACCTTGATGTCCTGCAACAAGCATCATGGATTGCCTTTCAATTGTCATGCGCCCCCCGCCTGTCACCTGTCGTGTTGGAGTATTGCGGGTGGGAGAGTTGGGAGCCTAAGGCCCCAGAGACACAGTCGGCATCGTGGGATTCGAACACGGGTGTCGTGGAATATGATGTCTTCGGGCATCAATCGCCCATCCGCAAGTTGAGTTGCAAGACCGAGGAGGAACCTCATGAACAACCAAGCCAAGACAGCACCTCCTGTATTGAGCCAAGTGTAGGAACAGACTTGCCAGATGCGAACGGCCCTTCCCTTCGCAGCATGGGTGCCGAGGTAAATTGCTGACATAACCGAGCTGACCACATACTGGCAACCCTCCGGGCCAGACACACTGCGGCCCATAGTGGGGAAGGGTGCTCCAGGGGGGCCCTGGCTCTTAGTGTTCTGAAATTCCAACACCACAAGACGGTGCAGAGCATGAGCATTTCTACGCAGCATATACCATCATGACCTCGACAATAAAAGAACCTTCCGCACCAAGAACTCACCCGCCCTGATTTTCTCTCCTCATCACAAAATACCGGAAACAAGCGAACTCGAACCCCATTCGGAAGCATCATCTTTTTCTCGGGCTCTGATCATTGCAATTCCCTACTGAGCTGCCATACATTTTTTTCGAGGTACTTTGGTTTGTACCAATGTCGCTCCCATTCAAAAGTACCTTCTTTCGGTCGTGTGCCTCGGCTGCACGAAGCACACGACCACACGTCAACGCCGCGAAGCCCCTTTACGCCGCTGTATCACAACACAACCAGCTGCGGTGGAGTTCTCACTCGCCCATGGGCGCATCATCCGGAATTGCGCGGAAAAAGGTGACCCTAGGCCAGCTCAGGAGTCAGCATCGCAAGGGCGATCCGATCACGGTCATCACGGCACATGACTTCCCAAGTGCTTACGTTGGCGACATCGCGGGCATGGACATGATCCTCGTGGGTGACAGCCTCGCCATGGTCGCCTTGGGGATGGAGGACACAAGCGAGGTGCTCGTCGAGGAGATGCTGTTGCACTGTCGATCGGTCGCACGCGCAACCAAGAGCGCCTTCACCGTGAGTACCTACACGCACTGTCCCCTCCGTGGCAATGACTAACGGCGTCAAGATTGGCGACCTGCCGATGGGCTCATATGAGATCTCGCCGGACCAAGCGCTGGAGACGGCGATTCGCTTCATCAAGCAGGGCCGTATGCAAGGTATCAAGCTCGAAGGCGGCAAGGAGATGGCCCCCACCATTCGCAAGATCACGCAGGCTGGTATCCCCGTACTCGGCCACGTCGGCCTGACTCCACAGCGGCAAAACGCCTTGGGCGGCTTCCGTGTTCAGGGAAAGACGGCGGCGGGAGCGGCGAAGCTCCTGGAGGATGCGCTGGCTGTGCAGGAGGCTGGCGCCTTCGCCATGGTAGTGGAGGCCGTGCCGGCTGAGGTCGCGACGCTTGTGACGCAGAAGCTCTCGGTGCCAACAATAGGCATCGGCGCCGGTAACGGGTGTTCGGGCCAGGTACTGGTGCAAGTTGACATGATTGGCAACTTCCCTCCAGGTCGCTTCTTGCCTAAATTTGTCAAGAAGTATGGGGATGTCTGGGGCGAGAGTCTCAAGGCGATCGAGGCCTACAAGCGCGAGGTGAAGAGCCGGGAGTACCCGGCGCCGGAGCACACGTATCCTATTTCGAAGGAGGAGCTGGAGGCATTCGAGGCGACGGTCGAGAAGATTTGAGGCCTTTGAGTATCAGCATTGGGTTGAGTCGCGATAAAGCGAGACTGGTTGCATTCTTGGTGTTCGGCGTAGTTGGTGATCTCTTGAGCATGGAGCATTGCATATCATGGAGGCTTGAATTCGGAAAACAAGAATGCAGAGCTCTTGTAGCCCTGGTTTGCTTTCCGTTTCGAGAGTGCTTTCGAGTATCAGCATCAATATGGCAGGTATTAATAGAAATATGAGCAACTATGTTGAGGGCACATGTCTTAGCATACCTGGTTGCATGTGGCGAAGCATATGAGCGACTAGCCAACTTGAGGTGAGAGTTCATCCGAAGGCTGGTGTCATGGAGTAAGAGATCACAAGTTGGTCGCTCATGTCCTTGAAGCAGCCATGCAGGTTCCCAACGACTTCGTCGAGGGAAGGGGCAAAGGCGCTGTTGACATAACAGAAGACACTGTCGGTGCTCTGAACTTTGAGCTTCTTGCGCAAGTGCTGAACGATGTTTTCAAATTTCTGATCGGCGCTGATCTTGAAGACGGAGCGGGGGAGAGATGGGGCACTGCCGATAGGCTTGAAGCTAACGACGACCTTGGCGTTAGGGAAGAGGCCAGCACTGGCGAGGGCGGCCGTGACATCGCGGGGTTGGGCTGTGAGTATGGCGGAGGCCGACATGGTCAAGGGAATGTCGGGCGAGGTGGTGCGATCGGGTATAGGGGAGTCAGGGGGCGAGGCTGGGGGGGACTGCTGCGCCGGAGAAGACATGGTGACGCTCGTGTGGTGATGGCTAGTTGTGGTGTTTCAATCTTGGATGCAACACTTAAGAGGGCTGAATGCCAGCCTTGCAAGGCGTGATGCAGCAGAACGAATAGGTGTGAAGGTCTGCAGATGGTCACTCATGTATTTGAACGGCTAGGTTGATTGTCGTGTTGAGTTGGGATTCGGAAGGTTGGACTAGCCGTGGTTGCCTGATGAGATGAGCCTTTATCGGCGTGACAAGGTATTGTATGTGCCTGACTTCGATCTTGAGTCCAGAGGTTGTGATCCCCACTTGTTAGGGGAGTTCCAGCCGGCGCAGCCAATGAAACCGTGCTAAGGGGTCGCCTCCCTCACAGCTAGGTACCTTAGGCACCCGAGTACCAGAACGGCCCCCTATGAACCTCCAACGTCCCCTGTAAGCCCCCGTAGGTCCGCCGGGGAACGCCAGTCTCTCCTGCCGTATGGCCCAACGGATGGCATGAGCAGCTAGTCAGTCCCTCTTACCTGTGTGCAATTCCCCTGAGCGGCTGACTGGCCAAAGCGAGCAACATCAACGCATCACCAACTGCCACTTGTTGGACCACAAATTGTCTTCATACGCTCGACATGCCTCGCCCGAGTATCAGCCCGACTTTGCCGCAGACAAGGCACGATATGCGCCCTCGATGGCCTCCCTTCTTGGGAATAGCCTGCCTATTTGGCGCACGACCAAGCCATCTGGTGGCGTGCCGGGATATTTTCTTCTCCCTTGCCGTCATCTCTGTGCTGTTGGTTGACCTGAGGCTGCAGTTTAAGGGCCCCGAATGGAGCTTTCCCATCCTCTCGGAGCACTTCTCTCACCGCAAATTCGACTTGCCTCCCTGAGCCCGGTGCTTTGAGCCATCTCACTTCCTTCAAGCGCCTATCGCCTTGCGTACCCCTCGCTCTTTTACTCTCACATGTGCC